CTAACTCCCACCCAAGTGATTGGGTGGGATTGTGCAAACAGGGTAATTGTGGCCCACCAAGGGGATTGGTCAGTTATGCCATCCTGCTAGGCTTGAAATGAGCCATCCTAGAGGCAGGAAAGGGAGGATCCCACCACCACCAGGGAAGAACAGCCAAGAACGGATCCCTTTGGACCTGGAATCCCTGCGCTGACAAGCTCCTGGAACCAGGAAACCGAGGGAGAGGAAGACAGAGAGAGAGTTGTCACACTGAAGATGGCGATAGGTGGTGGCAGAGAAACAGCGGCAGGAGAGACCACCAGGAGAGACCACCAGGAGACAGTGTGGTGGGCTTCCCGGCCCACGGAGCTAGAAAGCTGAGTGCCTTTGGGCAGGAAGCTTGCTGCCAGAATGAGGTGCCTCCAGGCACGTATCGACAGAGCCAAAAGAGCTTTGTGACACTTGCCTGGACAGGGCAGAGGCCGAAGGCCATGGAGAGACCTGCCCGCGCGCATGGCTGCGAAGAGGCTGTCCTGATAGAAGAACTGTATCCTGAGCGTTCCTCAACCTGAATTGTAACCTGTTACTTCCCTAATAAACCCCATTAATTGTGAGTATTGTCTGTGAGTTCTGTGTAGCCGTTGCCATGAATTATTGAACCCAGCAAAGAAGTAGAAAGTGCCAGGGGAGGGGGACGGTTGGTGTCAGAATTGGTAAAGATGGCAGAGAGAGGAGGTATGTCTGACCTCTGCCTCATAGAAATCAGCTTTGGGCTGTTGATCTTGCTTCTCCTTCCCCATTGTGAAGTCAGATGCCACCCCCAACCCATTGTTACAGTACTCATGGTGATATTTTTTTATGAGCCAGTCTGTTATTTACATGAAATGAAACCTCTGGGACTAGTTTCAGTTCAAACTTTAAAGGGTATTTCAGGGCCATAGTGTCAGGGTTTCCCCTAGTTCCAACCCATCCACTAAGTCTGGATTTTTTAAGAATTTGAGTTTTGTTCTACATTTTTCTCCCATTCTGTTAGGGTCCATCTATTGTGTCCCTGATCAGAACGGTTGAAGGGGCAGCCAGGCACCATCTAGTTCTTCTGGTCTCAGGGTATATGAAGCTGTGGTTCATGTAAGCTATTAGTCCTATAGTTTCGTCTTTGAGTCTTTTGGTTTCCTTCCTCCTCTTTTACTCCAGAACAGTAGAGACCAATAGCTGTATCTTAGATGGCTGCTCGCAAGCTTTTAAGACCCCAGACACTACTCACCAAACTAGCATGTGGAACATAAACTTTATGAACTATATTATGCCAATGAACTGAGCTGCCATAGGGTTTTCTTTCTTTTTTTAAAATTTTTGCTGCAAAAAGAAGTTTTATTTTTTCCATTTGGTCCACAGCATGGGAGAGGTACTCCAGGGTGGTTAAGATGCTGCCTCGTGGCTGCCTGCAGGGAGAAGCTCAGGCAGAACCCTGATGACGGCAGGGGAATGCAGAGGGCCTCTCACAGGTCGCTAGGCTCCAGAGGCTCCTAGTCATCAAGCTCAAGGACGAGCCTCTCAAAGAGCTACTCGTCCAGCCCAGCCTGGGGGCCAGCCAGCCTACGGAGGTTGGTCAGGTGGTTGCCCATCTTCTTGAGGAGATTCACCTCGTCATCTAGGAAATGGTTCTCCAGAAGGTCACAGAGATGGCGGTGTGTGGAGGCAGAGCCCATGGCGTACAGATCCAGAAGGGCCTGGTCAGGTTCTTCTCCAGGGCCAAGTCAGCTTCCACGGTGTCCAGGGTTTTAACCCACTCATCTCGGGATGGCTTCTGCATGTCCTGGAAGAGGGCACAGCTACTGCACTTGTTCTGCAGCTTCAAGAGACACTCGCCCCTCGTGCTTCTCCTTCGCTATCTCACGGAAGAAGTGGCCCATGCTTTCCAAGGCCACATCGTCATGGTCAAAATAGAAGCCCAGAGAGAGGTAGGTATGGAAGGCCTGCAGATGCAGGTTGACCAGGCAGTCGATGCTGGCCTTCCACTTCGGCAGAATAATTCTGATGGATCTGGGGGCTCATGGTTAGTCAACGACTAGGAGCTAACCACAAAAAACGGTGTTAGCTGGTCCCGGAAACAGGAGATGGCCAAAGATAGTCTCGGAGGTTGTGCCTGGAGAGGAGGTTGAAGAGTGGTCCCAGGCTGGAGGTAGGGAGTCCCTGTGTCTGTTTCGTCCAAACACTGTTGAAGCGAGAGACAGATCCACAGGACTGCCGGGCAAGCTGCCATAAGTTTTCTTGGCAGTAATCTCTACAGAAGCAGATTGCCAGGTCTTTCTCCCACAAAGCCGATCAGTGGGTTCCAATGTCAACCTTTCAGTTAACTGTTATTTAAGCCTAAATAAACCATTTGAGAAATGGAGATTTAAAAAAATATGGATGTTGGCTACTTACTAATTTAAATAGCTTAATTTCTTTTTATTTCATTAAGTTGGTATTTTTGTGTTAAATTCAGTCTGAAAATACTCTTCCCAAAATAGCCATAAAGTGGTTGGTGAAATGAAAATGATGGAAAACGTGAAACTGACCATGTCAGCTTAAAGTTTGAGGGAGCCAGGAAGTAAAATTTAAGTACACACAAAACTATGTAGAGACTAAAATGGCAGTACAGGCACTATTCTGAAGAGTCCAGGGTATTAAAAAAAAAAAAAAGATTTAAAGAAAGATTAGGGCATAAAATAGAAAAGGGCACCCAGAGGCACCTTGGAAGATGGCCTAGCAATCTGATTCCAAAAGATCACAGCCTTAAAAACTCTATGGAGCAGTTCCACTCTGCACACATGGGGTTGCCATTAGTCGGAACTGACTCCATGACAACTAACAACAGGTCTTAAGAAAAGGAAATCTGGGGCATCTAAAACCCAGAACAATGGGGGACTGTGTGTGGGTGAATGGTGCCAAAGATAACATAGTAATTTTTAAAAGTTATGTCTGCAGTAAACAGAAAAGACAGGGAATATGTTCAGTTTTGTCTCTGATGAGCAGGTTCATGTTAAAATTGATCGATTCGATTTCAACTCATAGTGACCTTATAGGACAGAGTAGAACTGCCCCATAGGGTTCCAAGGCTATAAATCTTTGGAAGCAGACTGCCACATCTCTCTCCTAAGAGCAGCTGGCGGGTTCCAATAGCCTGGTGGATTCCAACCGTCAACCTCTTGGTTCGAAGCCGAGCGCTTTAACCACTGCACCACCAGGGCTTCATAAATTATATAATAGGCGCTCAATAAGCAATTGTTTAAATGAAGCAACATGACCAACTTATTTTGCTCCCTTATCTTCAGTCAGAGAATTTTCTTTAGAATCGGGAGAGTATAACACCTAAGGACTTGAACTCCAAAAGGGGCAAGACGATTCTGAGAAAACGTTCCCTACTTCAATTCACTCATTCGGCACATACTCATTTAGCCTTTGGTACTGTTAGGTGAAAGAGATCCAACAATGGACAAACAGATACTATTCTGTCGCTGCTCTTAGCAAGTAAGTTTACAAGGGGGCAGAGTCGGAGTAGAAGTATACTATTCTGTGTATTTAAATGAATCCAAGCCCCCCGCCCTAAATGAATGTTGTTGTAGACACACCCCAGGAAACAAAAAACACCTAATGGGATCGCTGACGTCTGAAAATGGAAAAGCAGCCCGGAGGCAGGAGCTGGGCGTACTGCAGCCCAAACTGTCAACAAGATAACGAAGCGTTTAGCAATCTGTAGCCAGGAGCCAGGCTCAGCCGGGTTTCCTAACTCCCGCTCCCACTGGATGAAGCTTCTGCAGCTGCCGCCTCCCCCAGGCTTCAGATTCCTCCCGCACCCTACTCTTCATAACGGGTACTGGAGATTTGAGCGTCACCATCAGTCCCCCATATATGGACCAGCTACCATGGCCGATGTTCCCACCAAACCCCTGGGTGAGGGGTACCGAGCTCCGCGTCTGTAAACCCTAACTCGGCTGACCTCACCTCAGCTTCCCCAGAACCGGTTTCTCTTAAAGGGGTCCTTCAGCCTCCGCGGAAGTCTGAAAAATGAGGTGTCTATTACATTTGCCCGAATACGTTATCTGAGGCGCCGGTCCACTATATCCAGATACACTTTACACAGTACTTCATCCAAAACTATGGCTATGGAGGAGCCAGGGAAACTCATCTTCCTTCTCCCGTTTCCCAGGGTGGCCCGCACCCCCCTAGACAGGCGGCTCCTGGCCAGCCCCTGGGGTCCTGATTTTGAAAAGCGGAGCGGGCCAATCAGAGTGCGGAGCGCCGCTTGGCGCGGCCTTTCGAGCCTCGTCTGGAACTGCGGGCGGGACCGCCACCGCGGCTCCGGGCGTGGGCAGCGGCGCTGGGGTGGAGGCATCGGGAGAGCTTCGTGGCTTCCGCGAGCGCACCAGGATGTGCAGCCCAGGGGTCGGACACAGGCTGACGGAGGAGGGAGGGAACAGCCTGTGAAACGGGGTGACGGCGACGCCCAGCCCGGGCGGGGACCGGGACTGGAAGAGGCCCCTGAGCAGCCGGCTGGTCCGGAGGCTGGGCTGGGGCGGGGTGGGGGGCGTGGGGACGGCCGGAGGGGCGGAAGGAAAGGTCTCCTTTACAGCTGGGGGAGAGACCAAGAGCGCAGAGAGAGCTTTGGGAGTCGCCGGAAGTGGCGAGAAGCTGGGGGCCGGCATTGGTAGGAGGGACCGAGAAAACGGGGGGAAAGAAGGGAAGTCTGTGTAAGTGGCTGAAAGGATCGAGTGACCAGAAAGAAGGTCGGTGCAAGTGAAGGAGCGGAGAGGTGTGGCCGGATCAAAGGCCGGGAGAAGAGGGTCAGTGTACGTGGGTGGACGGGATCAAGGAAAGAGGCGTGGAAGTGGCCGGGGCCCGGGGCCGGAGGAGTTCGGGACGTGGCCTGAAGGCAGCGGAGCAGAAGGCAAACCTGAGGGTGTTTGGGAATTGGAAGACTTGGTGGCACGCGAGGATCAAGACCCGGATCCTGCCTCAGAGAGTGGGCGAGGTGTCAGGGATGTGGGATCAGAGGCTGGTAAGGTTGGCCTTGCTGCAGCAGCTTCGGGCTGTCTATGGCATCAAGGTCAAGGGAGGCCGTGGGCAGTGCGATCGCAGGAGACAGGAAACAGCAGCCCTGAAAACAGGGGTAAGTCCTGGTGGGAAAGGGGATTTAGGTAGAACGGGTATGCCCTGTACCATCCCTTATTACCAGGTCTTGCTAAAATGTTCGCGCTATGTGGATCAAAAAAGAGAATGTGGTTAAGCCAATTTAAGGGTGTCATTCAATCCAAATGGTTAACTGCCGAAATGTAAAGATTCTTGATTCTTTTCAGGAATTTTGGGTCATTGAGAGAATGCTGTAGAGTTTAGAGCAGGGTTTCTCAGACTCAGCACTTTTGCCATTTTGGTCTGGATAATTCTTTATTGGGAAGGGGTTAGGGAGGCTGTCCTGTGCATTGTAGAATGCTTAACAGCATTCCTGGCCCCTACCCACTAGATGCCAGTAGCATCTCCCTAGTTGTGACAATCAGAAATGTCTCCAGACACTGCCTGTTTATTGTATTTTGAACTAGCATCACGTGAGTGTTGGGCACAGTCCACCACAGTGTTTTAGAGTAAGAGTTGTATAGGGAGCAGGGGACCAGTTTCTTTTCCAAATGAATCAGCAGATAAGGAGGTGTGACAGATCATCGGAAATAAGCTTCAAATAATACCTTTACTTGTCTCATTTGGGAAAACAAGCTTGCAGTTTGGCCACATCATACTTTGAGACATAAAATTATTTCTAAAAATGAGTAAATGAGAAACCAGAGTAGAAATGATTGAAAAGCTGTTGATGTTTAGGTGGTCGAAGTAAGGAAATCTTGAATGAGATTTTAATAGCTCCACCATGTAATCAAGAATTTCTTTGTGAAAAAATACAATAATTAAATATAAAGCATTTTATTATGCATCTATTAAATGCCTAGTTATATGGCACTTTCTAGATCCTTGGAGACAGAAACATACAATTAATTTGCATAGTTCTAAATAGTTTATAAATTCTGAAAAATAAGCACTTCGGGAAGAAAACTACTAACAAAAATAATTTGTATATCTCTTAATATAAATTCTGGAGAAATTGTTTTTTGTTGTTTGCAACATAGTGACAACATGTGTGTTTATATTTAAAAACCACAACAGTTTCTTCTGATTCGAAAACTGTCTTTCAAGATCTCAAATATAGCAGATTTTGTAAGAATATGAAAACATTTATATACCCAGATTTTTTTTTAATAACCTCTTAACAAGAAAAACTGACACCTGCCTTTAGAATCGATACACCTGAGTTTGAATCCTGCTCAACATCTATTAGCCGTGTGATTTGGGGCTAGCTGTTTAATTTCTCTAAGCCTCGGTTTCCTACTATATAAACTGGCAATAATGGTATCTGTCTTTGGATTGTTTAGGAGATTTAAAAACAATAACGTCTGTAGATAGACTAGCTCAGTGCCTGTCACATGCCACTTGTTCAACTAATGATGGTTGTTGTGGTAATCAGTTGTCTACATCCTAACTGATAACCGTGCAATATAAATTTAGACGTTGTTGTGGTTAGGTGCCGCTGAGTTGATTTCGACTCATAGGGACCCCATGTGGCAGAGTAAACTGCCCCATAGGGTTTTCTAGGGAGTGATCTTTATAGGAGCAGATTGCCAAGTCTTTCTCCCACGGAACTGTTGGGTGGGTGTGAACCGCCAGCCTTCCAGTTAGCAGCCAAGAGTGTAACCACTGCGCGGCTAGAGCTCCTTCTAAGTTTAGAACCAAAAATCCCGTTGCTGTTGTGTCCGAGATAGAAATTCTAATTAAAATAGTCTAATAAAGAAACACGGAAGATCTTTGTGTCACAAGAATGGGATTTACCAGGATAGGGAATTTGAAAATACAGTTTTTTTTTTTAGCTCTTTGCTGTTTGTTAGCTAAAGTAGTTTTTGAGCTTTTTAAGAAAAGTACTGAAAATGTTTTACAAAATGATACTATAAAGTGATATTCCAAAACATAAAATTTGTAAAGCATGGTATCAGTTTTATTTTATGAGATTAAATTATAGCAGTTAAGTGTGAGAACAATGAGACCTTTAAGGGGGAAAAAAAATCTCAATTCTAGTTATATGCAGCAATTGTACTCTTATATTGATTTTGGCATCCAATTTATTTTTGCATTTTTTTGTTGTTATCGCACAAATTCTGATTTACCCAGATAAGGGGTTACCCATACAAACTTGTTTTAATAGCTCCCCTTGAAATGATAATCATAACAACAAAAATATTCTTTGAATGCTTACTCTGTGTCAGACACTGATGTGTGTTTTACTTGTTTTAATTAATTTAATTCCCTCTACAACTCTGACTTAGGGTCTACGTGAATGTACCAAGGCACAGAGAATTAACTTGATCAAGGTCACTAAGCTAATAAGTGGCAGAGCCAGGATTTAAAACCAGCCTGTCTTGACTCCAGGAGTATGCTGTCTTAAGCACTCTACTATACTGTCTTTCCATCTTGGAATACTCATCAATCAAATGGATTCAGATGCTTGAAAGAGGACTAGTAAAATGTTGTTACTGTGTTGAATCATTAATGCCAAATGATTCCTTACTATAAATATATGAGTAAATAAGATGCTCTTGAAACGTAAGAACACTCATGGAGAGCAGATGTGTCTAAGGTAAATTAACATGTATGACATTAGTTGTACCCACTTAATTTTTTATAACAGACATATACAGGCTTGAATTTGTTTTTAAGTACAGTGAAAAGCCGCAGCCTTCCAAATCAGTGACACATTTTTAGGAAGTTAAAATGCACACTCAAAGATAACAGCAGATTCTTTATTCAGAGGTGTACAAAAACACCCAAGTTAACAAACACACGAGTTTACTCTTGGGATCTTTAAAGTATTAAAATTTGGATATAATACATTTGAGTGAGAGTTTTTAAAAATGGTTTCAAAATAGTTTTTTTTAAAGTGAAAATTGAATTAATTATTTGCACAATCCCTGCCTTGGTTGCCTCAAAGCACAGTTTGAAAAGCACTCTTCTATAGAGTGTGAAAAAAAATATATCAGATTTAATGATGCCTCCTTTGCCATGAGACCAGAAGAACTGGATGGTGCCCAGCTACCATTACTGAACATTTTGATCAAAGATTCTATAGAAAAATCCTGATCAAAAGGGGGGAAAAATGAAGAACAGAATTTAAAATTCTCATGGACTCTAGACTTTCTGGAGCCATGGAGGCTGGATGAACCCCTGAAACTATTGCCCTGAAATAATCTTTACAACTTAAACCAAAAATATCTCCTGAAGTCTTCTTGAGCTTGACAGTAAAAAATGTCTGCCTTGAGCATTATGCTCTTTAAAGAATTACCTGTATGGGATCAAACTGACAACAGCAACTTCCAAGATTAGACAGAAGCTTAGGGGGCAGTGAGTTAATGTTAATGGGGAGGAACAACTCAGAAAAGGAGGGTGAGAATGGCTGCACAACTCAGAGTATAATCAATGTCACTGAATTGTACATGCAGAAACTGTTGACTTGGCGTGTGTTTTCCTTTGTATATTCTCAGCGGTGAAATAAAATAAAAAATCATCAAGTTTAAAACTACTTCTGAGGTAGTTTTAGGAAGTACTCAAGATTAACAGGAGTTACAATTTTTGCTTAACAATTGACTTAGTTTAATTGATTCAAATTAGTATTTATAAGCTTACTAAAGGAAAGAATACGGTCCCTATTTATAAAGTCACTGAAGGAACCTGTAGTATTTTTTTTGGAAAATGTGAGTGTTTGGGGCCAAATTCCGTTTAAGAATTTCCTGACTAAGCACTAATAGGATTGATTCTCTAGTATCAGATTGCAGACTGAATTTACTAGATAGTTTGAGGAAAGTGATTTCATCTCGGTCGTCTTTGTACTATCAGCGGCTACAATAATGTCTAATATAGTATTAATTGTGCACCTGAAATAAGTGTTTTGACTGATAGTTTATTTCTGCCTCCCCCTCCCCCCGCCCCCAGGGTTTTAATTTGCCTAATGTTTAAGAAAACTTACATTATGCCTAACATTTGTCTTAGAGTAACTGAATTTGCCATTTTAGGGTAAAGTATTTGGAGTACCTTTTAGTTCATTACACCATTCTGTTGTACCAGAATATGGACACATTCCAAGGTAAGCAAAGTTTGAAATGAAGAATAAAATATTTCAAAACGATGTTAGAACTTTTAAAAATAAATAGTTAATTGATTCACACATTTGTCTCAAACTCACAAATGATCCATCTCTCTCAACATCAGCTATTGTTTAAAAAAAATTAATTTTATATATTTTATTATAACTGGGTAATTTGTACTTATTCCCAGGACTAAATGTTAAGGGTCAGAAATGGGTAAATGTTAGGAAGCAAATTATTTTTGTTCTATTAATTTGGAATTTTCATTTCTATTCTAAATTTTTGCCATAATTCAGATCTATAAAACACAGTAATAATTTTGATATTTTTTGCTGGTTTTAGAAATGTTAGATAAAGGAATAATGAAGCTAAGATATTGGAGTATTTATGAATACAAGTTATTTAAAACTTTAGCTTTTCTATGCCACTTACCATTTAAAATGATCTTTTGGACTAACTGCATCAGAAATTACTGAGAAAGTGACTTTAAAAACTAGCTTATAAATTCATGTAAAGAAAGTATCTTACCTGATTTATTGCCTGTCTATCCAAAGTAGGGTTTAGATTGTTTATTCTCATGTAGTAACTTAGACCTTAATTGGTACCTCATTCAAAAGCATTTATTGAACACCTTGTTGCTTTGGGATAGCTTTTCTCCCATTCATCCTGTAGGTGTAGATTCCAACTCATGGCAACCCAGTGTATGTCAGAGGAGAACTGTGCTCCACAGAGTTTTCATTGGCTGATTTTTTGGAAGTAGATCACCAGGCCTTTCTTCTAAGATGCCGCTGGTTGGACTTGAATATCCAACCTTTTGGTTAGCAGCTGAGTTCCTTAACCATTTGTACCACCCAGGGACTCCTTTCATTTGAGTAATGGGGATAAAAGTCTGATTGGAGAGGTTTGAGTAGAGACTAGGATGTGAAGCAGTGGAGGCAGTAAAAAAGACAAGTCTTGCACTCTGAAGGAGATTACAGAAGAGTGTCAGCTTGAGAAGGGTGTAGGACTGAGAGCTCATTGAAGTTGCATGGAAAAAAAAGACAGGCCTTAGAGAAGACTCCTAAGAAGCAAGAGGGACAACTAAAAGTAATCTTTTATCACAAAGATTAAACATGTGTGGTATCAAAGCCTCTGGAACAGGATGTAGTACTTGGCCTGCTTGTGGACTTGGGCAGAGTAGGATTTGGTAAGACGTGTTTCTGGTCAGCTGAAAAGATTTCTCTCTTTAGCTTTCTTGTTGATGCTTGCACATCTTTAGAAGAACATGTTCATACAGAAGGACTTTTTAGGAAATCAGGATCCGTTATTCGTCTAAGAGCACTAAAGGTAAGCATATTTTTGAACTATAGTTTTTCATTTGTACCATTCTCAGATTTGGTTTTTACAACTGAAATGTTGAGAACAGTTGCATGAATAATTGACTGAAATTGAATTTGCAGATGGCTTTTTTTTGTGGCAGAAGGATCTTTTTTCAAAGGATATTGCATATCATTTATATAATTCTTTAAAAGTTTACAGAGTACTTTTCAAATTATGTTCATTTCTATAAAATACTATGTGAAAAGAAAAAAAAATTTTACATCTTATTGTTTTTAGCCTTCTAAGAAAAAAGTAGTTATTGTTGGTAGCTGTTGAGTTGATTCTGACTCATGGCAAGCAACCACATGGGTGCAGAGTAGAACTGCTCCATAGGGTTTTCAAGGCTGTGACCTTTCAGAAGCAGATTGCCAGGCCCATCTTCCGAGGCACCTCTGGGTGGGTTTGAACCATCAACCTTTCATCTAGTCATCAAGTGCTTAACCGTTTGTGCCACCCAGGGAGCCTCTAGAAAGGAGTAAAATATATTAAAACAAGAGTGAAGAGATGTTTATTAAAGAAAGCTCTTTAATTTAGGCTATAGGAAAGGATTTTGTTTGTGATAAACTCTTAAATCCAAAATATGCTCAAGATTATTGCATTTATTTCAGAGTAAACTGGATCATGGGGAAAGTTGCTTGTCTTCTGCACTGCCTTGCGACATTGCAGGGCTTCTTAAGCAGTTTTTTAGGGACTTGCCAGAGCCCATTCTCCCAGCTGATCTGCAGGAAGCACTTTTCAAAGCTCAGCAGCTGGGGACAGAGGAGAAGAATGAAGCTACACTGTTGCTCTCCTGTCTCATGGCTGACCACACAATTGCTGTATTAAGATACTTCTTCAACTTTCTCAGGAATGTTTCCCTTAGGTAAGTGGTAATTAAAAGTCTTGGGACATAATAGTTTAATTTCTCAACTAGATAAATATTTACCCTTGTAGATAATAAATTAAATTTTATTTGGAATGGAAAAATTTCTGCAAGGTATTATATATTTCCTTGCTATAAAAAGTATGTTGCTGGGTGCCCTCGTTGTTTTGAACTCATAGTGACCCCACGTGGCAGAGTAGAACTGCCTCACAGAGCTTCTTTATCCCGTGGAGCTGCTGGGTGCTTCTGAATTGCCAACCTTAAGGTTAGCAGCCAAGCGCTTAACCGTTGTACCACTAGGTCCCCTTACCCTGCATAATCTAAGAAACAGGATACTACATGATATTGTATTTGCTTGCCATCTTAGAGTTATCATTGTGAATGCCTTCGTGGTTTATTGATGTTTACAGGACTCTTGTCTGCTGAAAGGCTTTAGATTACTGTTTTTTAAATACTTGTTTGCGCTTTTTAAATTTGCTTCACCCCACCCCACTCCATCCTCTCCTTCTTAGCTTTCACTGCTCCCTGCTGTTAGAGAGCATGCTTCTCCTAGGCATACCTGCTGCCTTCTAATATTTCCAGTTTTCTATATATGGGTTTGAAAGTCAGATAAACATGTTCAGTTTGTGTGGAAAAGCGAAGTAAGGACCTGGGAAAACTCCATGATTCGCATGGTTTTTATGATACATGCTTAAACACACAGAAGCTGTGTATTTCTGGTTCTGTCTTTTCTGCAGTCGTGTGGTTCCTGTATTTTGACTGGTGTGTGACTAATAAAGTAAGGAGTCATAAAATGTGCCCAGTACGTTATTTTAACTCTGTTTTCATCTTTGGCCCCATCCCATAAAACTTTTATTCCTTTTAAGATCCAGTGAGAATAGGATGGATAGCAGCAACCTTGCAGTAATATTCGCACCGAACCTTCTTCAGACCAGTGAGGGACATGAAAAGATGTCTGCCAACACAGAGAAAAAGCTCCGACTACAGGCCGCCGTAGTACAGACTTTTATTGACCATGCATCAGACATTGGTAAGATGTCATTGCACTATTAAATGACAGGATGTGTTTAAATGAGGGAGGTGCCAGCTTCTTCCAAGTCAACTCTAAAGACAGCTGTTAAAAAAGTTGGTATATACTATCTAAACATTTTTAGGGGGTGGAGGAAGGATGATAATTGTCTTACTTGTGAACATTTTCATTTAGGGCGTGTACCAGATTTTATCCTGGAAAAAATACCAGCGATGTTGGGTATAGATGGTCTGTGTGCTACCCCATCACTAGAAGGCTTCGAAGAAAGCAATCATGAATCTCCTGGTGAATGTAAGAGAAAGCGGCGACAGAGTGTAGGCGGTGAGTGGCGGTCTGTTTTATGGAGATACAGTGATACACTTTTATCTAACACCTTATTCTAAAATGTGTCTGAACATAAAGAAGTGTAGGCTATGGTGCGTGTCTTTGGGGTGCTTACAGCGCAGTTGCAAAGCCATGACATGCAGGCGAAGGTTTAAAACGGCAATGCTGTCTAATCAGTACACAAGCATAGAATGTGTTCAAAGGAGAAAAGTTTCCTGGGTTGTAGTGATCAGGGGCTCATTAAAGAGGAGGCTGAACTTTAGCCTCCTTGAAGAATGGGTAGAAAATCTTGGGAATTGGGTGGAGGTCAGAATGCTTGTATTGTATTTTAGATGGGAAGGATGTTGTGGAGGAAAGATGTGTGTGGGGAAGAAGGAACCTATGTCTGTGTCCGTAACTAGACTAGCCTGACTTGAGTGAAGCACTTGGGTATTGGTGAACTATTGAAGGTTTTTGACTAGAGGAATGA